TATTTGTTCTCTGTGTTTGTGTCAACAATGAATGATAACATTGCATCACTATTAAGTATCCTTCTATTATGTATCCTTTCTCAAATAGTCAATTCTCTAGTTGCATATTTGTTTTAATGGCTAAAAAAAAAGGGGAAACCTCAGTTGTTTTTGGTTGTGCAGAAAGAGTAATTTATTAAATCAAATTTCATTTATTAGAGTTATATTTCTTGTTTAGAAGTTAGAACACACTGCTTCACCGTAATGACCAAGAAACTAAAATCAAAACAAGTATATTAGCTTAAGTGGATCAGTAAATGGGCCTTGCGTTGGTAAAGTTTTTTTTTTCAGAAAACGCTGTCATATAACATTGTATCACTTTTTTTTTTTGAACATAGAAACTAAATTTCACTTCTTTAAAACAGATTGAAGAGTCGGAGAGTCGTATCACTTTTTTAAAAAGTATATTTTTTATTGAATTTTTATCAAACAAACACAAAAACAAAATTTCAATATTTTTTTTTCTTTTTCCAAATGACTTTCTTTCATTCAATAAACAGAAACGAAAATCAAATCACTTAAACAAATTTTATATAACATAGTAAGATCATGTATTCATATGTCACTTTTTCCTTTTATATTCCTTTTCATTGAACAAACACAAAGCTAACACTTAGTTTTTTTCTTCTTCTCAACACGATTCTCTTTCATTTTGTCTCTTATTTTACATTATTTAAAAAACAATTCTAAATTTTAAGAGCTAACTGCGACATTGCTTTTACACAAAAAATATATTCATTTCTTTATATTGTCTTTTCGGCCAATCGAAGAGAAAAACATGCATTCTTTGTTTCTGTAAAATATTTTTAGACTAATGCCTCACTCATTTCTTTTCTACTTAATTGAACATCAAACCGCCACTATCACAATGTGGATTCTACTCTCTAGAACTTCCTTAGAACAATGACAGCTTCACTTCCCTAATGGGATCAAGCCATGTGTCACATTTATAATATATAGTAAAGTTTTTTTTTTCATAAGCAACTAATATATGTTGTCACGTCTCATTTTAGAAATTAACATGTATCACTTTTTCCTTTTTTTACTATCTCTATTGAATCCTTTTTTCATTAAACAAATACAAAACAAAGCTTCAATTTTTTTCTCTTGTTATGGACCTCCGCAAACCTCTTATGCATTTTCCATCCAACAAATAGAAACGAAAATCAAATCACTCAAATAAATCTTATATAATATAGTAAGATCATGTATTATCTTTTCTCTTCTTTTTCTCAACACTATTTTCTTTTATTTTGTCTCTTACTTCACATTATTTAAGAAGATGCTTTTATGTTTTAAGAGTTAGCTGTGACATTGTTTCATCGCAAAAAAGATCCATTTCACCATGTTTTCTTTGTAGCCAACCGAACAAAAAATCAAACATTATTTGCTTTCGTGAAATGCATGATTTGATATTGTTTCATCACAAAAAATAGATTCATTTCTTTATGTTTTGTTTGTGGCCAACCGAACAGAAAATCATGCATTATTTGGTTTATATTTTTTTTCTATAAACTATTATTTTTTATCCAATAAACATAAATGAAAAATCAAATTACTCAAACAAATTTTATATAATATGGTAAAATCATGTCACTTTTTTCTCTCTTTTTGTTCTTTTCTTCTCAACATTGTTATCTTTTATTATGTCTCTTACGTCACATTATTCAAGAAGTTTGTTTTATCACAAAAAAATAGATCCACTTATTTATGTTTTCTTTATGGTCAGTCTAATATAAAATAATGCATTAGTCGACCAAAAAAATCATGCATTATTTGCTTTTAAGAATTTTTTAAAAATTATTTCCTCTCTCCTTTTTTCTCTACTCTATCGAACTTCAAACCATCATCACTATCACAATTTAGAATTCTACTCTCTAAGACTTTTTTTCCATTCATCTCCGTGTGTTTCTTCAGAATAGTGGTAGCTTTACTTCCCTAACAAGGTCAAACTTCATTCTCTATAGATATTATTATTTTACCAACTTTTTTAATACAAAATATCTATCTATGCTAATAAATTAAGTATTTTTTTCAGTAACAGTTCTGATATGCTGCTCACATTTTAATAAAGTAAAGTTTTTTTTCAGTAGCAGCTCTGATATGGTGCCACATGGCACCTAAAAAATTGATATGTGTCACTTTTTTATAAATATTTCTATTGAATTCTTTTTCATCAAACAAACACTAAAACAAAGCCTCAGTTTTTTTTCCTTTTTCCAAACGATTCTCTTTAATTTAACAAACATAAACAAAAATCAAATCACTCAAATAAATTTTATATAATATAATAAATTCATATGTCATTTTTTTATATCTATACTACATTTTTTTATCGAACAAATACATAAACAACACTTAAGTTTTTTTTTTAACACGATTCTCTTTTATTATGTCTCTTACTTCATATTATTTATAAAAAAAAGTTTTCTAAGTTTCAAGAGATGATTGTAACATTGTTTTTGCACAAAAGATAGATTAATATCTTTATGTTTTCTTTGTGGCCAATCGAACAGAAAATCATGCATTGTTTGCTTTTGTAAAATAATTTTAGATTAATGGCCCACTCTTTTATTTCCTACTTTATCGAACATCAAACCGCCCCGCTATCACAATCCCAGGTTATACTTGTTCGGAATGGTGGCAGCTTCACTTCCATAATAGGATCAAACCACACTATCTCTTATAATATATTGTAATGTTTTTTTCATAAGCAACTCTGATATGCTGTCACGTCTCAACCTAGAAATTGACATGTGTCCTTTTTTGGGTTTTTTTTTACTATCTCTATTGAATTTTCTTTCATTAAACAAACACAAAAATAAAGCTTCAATTTTTTTTCTCTTCTACAAAAAATTATTTTTCTTCCAACAAACAGAAACAAAAATTAAATTACTCAAACAAAGCTTATGTAATATAACAAGATCATGTGTCACTTTTTTTTAACAATATTCTCTTTCATTATGATTCTTACTTTACATTATTTAAAATTTTTTTAATTTAACTATGAAGAGCTGACTGACATTGTTTCATTGCAAAAAAAATAGATTCATTTCTCAATATTTTCTTTGTGCCCAACCAAACAGAAAATCATGCATTATTTGATTTCGTAAAAAAAAATTAGATTTGTTTTTTTCCTCTTCTACAAATGATTATCTTTCATCCAATAAACATAAACAAAAATCAAATCACTCAAACAAATCTTATATAATATAGTAAGATCATGTGTCACTTTTTTTTTTTTCTTCTCAACAGTAATCTCTTTCATTATGTCTCTTACTTCACAATATTTAAGAAATTTGTTTTTCATCTTTAAGAGTTGACGGTGACATTGTTTGATTACAAAAAAATAAATATATTTTTTTATGTTTTCTTTGTGGCCAATCGAACAGATATTATACATTATTTTCTTTCTTGAAAATGTTTGAGATTAATGCATCACTCCTTTCTTTCCTAGTCCATTGAACCTCAAACCACCATCACTATCACAATATGTATTCTACTCTTTTGGACCGTCTTTCTGATCATCTCCGCGTGCTTCATTGGAACAATGGTAGCTTTAATTTTCTAACAAGATCAAATCTCATTCTCTAATCACGAATCTCTTATATACATATATATATATATATATATAGAGAAAGAGAGAGAGAGAGAGATATTTTTTAGTAAAGTAAGTTTTTTTAGAAGTAGCTTTGCCACATGACATCTAAGAAAATGACATGTGTCACTTTTAAAAAAAAATTCTATTGAATTCTCTTTCATCAAACAAACATAAAAACAAAGCTTCAGTTTTTTTTTTCTTTTCTCCAAACAAATTTCATCGAATAAACAGAAACAAAAATCAAATCACTCAAACAAATCTTAGATAATATAGTGGTCATGTGTAATTTTTTAATCTTTTTTTTGTCTACAATATATTTTCTTTTATCGAACAAACACAAAAATAATTTTTAAGTATTTTTTTTTCTTTCTCAACAAGATCCTCTTTCATTATGTCTCTACTTCACATTATTTAAAAAAGTTTTTTAATTTTTAAAAGCTCACTGTGATATTGTTTTTGCGCATAAAATAGATTTGTGGCTAATGGAACAAAAAATCATGCATTATTTACTTTCAGAAAATAATTTTAGATTAATTGATCACTTATTCCTTTTCTACTCTATGCCATTTTTTTCCTTTATCCCCGCATACCTTTTTGGAATAGTGGCAACTTCACTTCTCTAATAGGATTAAATTGCATTCTCTCTTATAAATTATAGTAAGTTTTTCTTCATAATCTTAGAAACTGACATGTGCTACTTTTTCCCTTTTTTATTAGAGTTAATTACAGTCCAAGCACTTTTTCAAACTCCTTTTACTGAAAGAAGCATTTTCATCAATTCAAGCACTTTCAACATTTGCAATGACAAAACACCCTTGATTATTTTCACTGTGAGAGATATCTTTATGTGACTATTAAAAATAAAAATCATTCTATTCAGTTTTTCAGAAAACAAAAAAAACTGGTGAGGAAAAAGCCTCTTCATTATCGAAGCTTCCCACGAAACCCTAATCATTAGACGATCGGCCATTCGCCATGTAATCGAAGGATTCAGACCATTCATCGATGTAATCGGGATTCACGACAATAAACACAAAGGCTCTCTAAAATTTAAAGAGCTTTGAGTTATTTGGTAGACAATCTCTCACAGTCTCTTCTTCTTCTCAACAAATCAGAATATTTGGTTGTCTTTCTTGTCATCTTCGAGTTTCTTCACTTCATTCGATTATTCGTGGCTATGGTGGAATCAATTCTGTCTGTCAATTTTTTGTCTCGATCAGATGGCTTCTCTGGTTTGTCATTTTCCATCTTTCTTCACTTACAAATGCGAGCAAGCGAATTTGCTTTACTTTTTTTTTAGTTTAATTAGTCCAATTTTGAGTAATAATTTAGGATGATGATTGGATCTGTAACATACTCAATGGGTTTTATTAAACAAAATTTTGTTATTTAAAATTTGAAGTTTTTCACTGTTAATTTCTGATTCCCTCCAGTTTAAAAATGTATAATTTTGTGATTAGGTGTTTGTTTGATTCGCCTTAGGACTCTAATCTCTGCCTGGAATACAAAGCGAAGGATTGAATTAATAGCTTATATTCTAGTTTTGTGTAATCTCAAGAAACAGCTTTGTATAGATCAGCTTCTTAATTCAAAAACCTTAACATCAGTAATTGTGTCTTTCTGTATAACCGCTTAAGTCGTTAGTTTAGAAAACCTTAAAAATGTGCAAGGTACGGCTAAAATGTCTTTGCATTGAATATTTGTAACAGGGGGGAGATTCGGAGGGCAAGGGCCAGTTCCAAGAAGCTCTTAGAAGAATTCAGGCTTACTGAGCATACAGCCTCATACGAATCATAAAAATATACATGTGATCTGATATTTTGATAGTCAAGATGGTGGACAAGAGATGATGGACATGATTTTGAAGAAGATATATTATGAACAATATACACTGGACATGAGACGGTGGACAGACGATGGACAAGAGGCACACATAAGATGACGATGGACAGAATACCATGGACAAGTTTTTGAGGTATATATATGATCGAGAGGGGACAATGGATAAGAGACCATGGACAGAAACCTTTAGGAAAGCAAAAACAATGAAACACAATTACAAGGTTATAGATTATTGAATTTGTGTTTTTTTATAATCATGTCCATGCTAGATCTTCCACAGATAGTTCTGTCAATTGAAATTATATTATTGTTATAAATATTGGTATGCGTGTAGCCATGAAAACAATCGATTCTAACTTTGTTGTGCTCTTTATTTTTCTACGTGCATGGGTATTACAAAGTGGTTGAGGAATCATCTAAATCATTGGAGTTTGGAGGACTATAATTCATTTCATTCTTATTCACTGCATCCACGATAGTCTTTCCACGAAAAACCGTCTACATATCAAGATAGAGTGGTTAGTTCTTCATGGACAGATAGAAAGATGTGTACAACACTACAATAATATTTGTAACATCCGCCTCTTTCAAAACCAAGACGGCATATTAAAGTGCATTAACTTTTACCACAAAAAACTATTTGCTAGTTCAATGCCACTTTTATTCCCAATGATCGTATTCAAAACATCTTACAAAGACCATTGCACTTAACAAATAAATCCGAATTTAAATAACGTCTTTAAAAATAAATAATGAATAATAAAACAAAACCCGCATCTTCCCAAAATCATCACCGAGCCACAAGACTACTCCTGAATGTCTACGCGCTCACCTGCAGAAAAAAGAGGGATGAGTATTTCAACAATACTCAGTAAGGGCGGGTCCTAGGGACCCACGATATACATCTCGCACATGCATAACCATTCCAGACGAAAGTCCTAAGCTAATACACATAGGCAAACACGTCCGAAGACACTCATAGATCAAAAAATGACATCACTAGACCTAACTGGTGCATCCACGCCCTCACCAGCGCACACCCCGTGGCATATACCGGCCCACACACTGTCCGTCCTCAAAATGCAGGGCTCATCAAGCCGCCAGCAATGGACTATGGAGTCCCACATGCCTCCATATCCAAACATTCATATATAAAAAAGGTTCCTACATCTAATCCCAACCCGCAAGTGATTTTTCCCATGTAATGCAAACATCCGCAAAAACTATTCATACATCAATCAATAGTATTCCGTTTAACAATCTATGATACTAAGTTCATCAATCAGCAACCGCAAGATAATAACAATTAATATAGTGATTTTAAGCGCTACTAGTCAGGTTCAATCAACAATCAAATACGTGTATTCATATAGATACAGCGCAGGTATGCGCGGATTATCAAAGGACTACTCAGTAAGAAATAACTATGAATCTGAGAGAGATAGATCACGCCAGTCCTCACCTTAGTCTCAGATCGAAAGTGGAAAACATAAATAGAAGGAGATCTGATTACTACAGGTCCTCACCGAATGGATCACGGAGTCTAAGCTGAGAGATAGCAGCAGATTCGAGAAGATGGCGTGAAGGAGTACGTTCTCGGCGACTCCGGCGGTTTTCCAGCGACGACGGCGATTTTCTAGCAACGGCGAACAGCGGCGGCGGCGGCGATTTTCCGGCGACGGCGAACGGCGGCGGCGGTTTTCCGGTGATGGTGAACAGCGGCGGCGGCGGCGGTGATTTTTCTGCGACGGTGAACAGCGATGGTTTTCCGTCGGCGGTGAACGGCGGTGGTCGGCGGCGGTCGGCCGCGACGGCTCCGACAACTGTTCCGGCGAGATGCTCTGAAGAAAACTGGGAAAAGCTTCGCTGGAAATTTCTGAATGGTTTTTCAGCAAAGGGGGCATTTGTATTTATAGGGGAAGGGAGCTGCAACCCTAGGTCAACTCGGAATGGGCCTTGGGTTGGTGGGCCTGCAATCAGAAATGAGCTTTTATGCACACTCTCTTCTGGGCTTGGGCATGGGATGTCACAATTGTCCCCCACTAAAGGAGAATTCGTTCCCGAATTCGAATCGCCATCCTGAGGCACACCAACGCCCCCAAAGAGCTCTGGATAACTCGCCCGCACCACAGCCTCGGGCTCCCAAGTTTCTTCCCGGATTCCATCTTTTTCCCAACGAACACGAACCAATTTTGTCTTCTTCCCTTGAATTTCTGACTCTTGACTGTCCAAGATTTCCACCGGTTTAGTCGTAATGTATAAGTCTCGACCCACGTCCATAGGCGGCACGGCTAAGATCAGCTCTGGTTCACGAACCACTTTCCTCAAAACTGACACATGAAACACATCATGAAAGTCTGACAACTCTTGTGGTAAGTCCAACCGATAGACAACTGCCCATATCCTCTCGATGATCTTATACGGCCCCATGAACCTTGGCCTCAACTTTTTCAGCTTACGGATTTTATCGGTTCCTCGGAATGTCCTCATCTTTAAATACACAGCATCACCAACTTCGAACTCCAAATCCTTTCTTTGCTGATCCTTATAACTCTTCTGACGATCGTGCGCTTCCCTCAGTCTTTCCTTTAGTAATTCCACCTGTTCCACTGTTTCTTGAATCAGCTCCGGCTCTAAGTCTCGTCTCTCCCCCACTTCGGTCCAACACAGCGGGGTTCGACATGGTCTCCCATACAGAGCCTCGTATGGAGCCATTCCAATACTGGAGTGAAAGCTATTATTATAAGCAAATTCAAGATACTTTCCCCATTTTCCTTCCCAGTCCAACGGATCACAAAGTCTAAGCTGAGAGATAGCAGCAGATTCGAGAAGACGGCGCGAAGGGGTACGTTCTCGGCGACTGGCGGTATTCCGGCGACAGCGAACGGCGGTGATTTTCCAGCAACGGCGAACGGCGGCAGCGGCTGCGGTTTTCCGACGACAGCGAACAGCAGCGGCGGCGGCGATTTTACGGCGACGGCGAACGGCGGCGGCGGTTTTCCTACGACGGTGAACGGCGACGGTCGGCGGTGGTCGCCGGTGGTTGGTGGCAGTCGGCGGCGATGGCTCCGACAACTGTTCCGGCGAGATGCTCTGAAAAAAACTGGACAGAGCTTCGCTGGAAATTTCTGAATGGTTTTTTAGCAAAGGGGCATTTGTATTTATAAGGGAAGGGAGCTGCAATCCTAGATCAACTCAGAATGGGTTTTGGACTGGTGGGCCTGCAATCGGAAATGAGCTTTTCTACACACTCTCTTCTGGGCATGGGCCTGGGATGTCACAATATTGATCACAAAGTTGTCTACATAACCAAGTTAGCGACAAAATTGAATAATTTTTCAAAAACAAGAGTTTTCATTGATTTCAAACTCGGTCATTGCAGATCTGGGTTTAGCTTGGAGCCTGAAAACATGTAGAAGACATATTAAAATTGTTGAGATTTCAATCCTTTTTTTTTTAAAACGCATCAAAATTGAAATTTGCAAAAGATGAAATGCGATTTTTGATAAAAAAAAAAGATGAAGATAATTAGCAAAAGTTTCGAAGGGTATAAAATAGACCTCTAAACCAAATATTCTGATCTAATGAGAAGAAAATGAAATCGTGAGAGAATGACCATGTATTGGATCTTCCGACAATGTTACCGATTGACTAGTTTTTTAAAATTTATTTTTTAGGTCTACGAAAGATACAAGAACTCACAAATGATTAAAGCGGCGGCTATTAATTCAGATAAACAACGCCTCTTCCTCATTTTTTCGGTAAGGACAGAAATTTTTTACTGCATCGCTCCCAATTCTTTGATAGGGGTGTAAAAGGCAGGAAATAGTGTAAATCATTTAAAAGTGCCTCTTATTATGAGAAGTGCCTAAAATGTAATCATAAGTGTTTAAAGTGCCTTAGAGTATAAATGACTCTTACTATCTCTATTGAATTTTTTTATTAAACAAATAAAAAAGAAAGTTTTAATTTTTTTTTCTTTTTCTATAAATGATAATTATTCGTAAAAAAAACCGAAACAAAAATCAAATCACCCAAAAAAATCTTATAGAATATAGTAAGATCATGTGTCATTTTTTCTCTTTTTTTTTTTTCCCAACACTATTCTCTTTTATTATGTCTTTATTGAATTTTTGTTTAGAACTTTTAAGAGTTGATTGTGACATTGTTTCATCACAAAAAATAGATTCATTTATTTATATTTTCTATGTGGCCAACCGAATAGAAAATCATGCATTATTTGCTTTCGTGATTTTTTTTAAATTTTTACTCCTTTCATTATTTACACGAAAAAAATTATTTGGTTCTATTGCCAACTCAGCTGTTGACCGACTTATCAAGCTCACTTTGACTTTCTTCTTCTTCAGTTAAATTCCTCTTCTTTCTATGATAGTAAGCATGATGGATCTTATCAATTCCATTCTGAATTACTCAGCTCAAATATTCGACTGAACATTTTTTTCTCTTTAAAGCATTCTTAATTCCACTTGATTGGCCATGTTCTTGTTCAAATATTTGTAACTGCGAAGAGTGGAGCTTCTCTGTCATTTCTCTCTCACTTTATTGTCTATGAACTTATGAAGCATATATATATATTTTTGTTATGTTGAGTCACCCGAGCTTACATCCTATTTCAGGGAAGAGATTGTGAGAGTCTGCCTCTATGTATACCACAAAGTTGAATACTATCTCGAGAGATGTAACCGGCTTGCTCCCTGACGAGATTATGGGCAACATCTTATCCTTAGTTCCGACAAAACAGGCTGCTCAAACACCTCTCCTCTCGGAGAAGTGGAGGTACATGTTTAGAATGGTGGATAATTTTGATTTTTATGGTTCTGTGTTTTCGAAGACCTTCAAGAACTTTGTGGACTGAACACTGGGTTTGCAATGCAGTGATCACATGAAGAAACTCTCTCTAGCATGTCACTTTGCCAAGAACAATGACTACCAAAAGACTTGTGTGGGCGGATGGATATCTAATGTCATAAAACGTGCTATTTTGGAGCTAAACCTAATGATAAATGTTTATGGTGTACACTTTCTTCCTCCCAAACACTTCACTAGCAAAACACTGACTAAGCTCGCACTAGGAACAAACCTATTTCTTGAAAAGCTCTTTCATATGTGTCACTTCTATCTCTTAAAAGATTATTGGTTTCTATGAATATGAAGAAGATTTGTCGTGTGTGCTTCTTGCTGGTTACCCTGCGACTATATTACCGTGACTTTTTATTAACGCTTAACACCATATCAAGTTCAACGGTCAAGAGACTATCAATTGATTACAGTTCTCCTTTTTATATAGATATTAGGAGAACTGATGAGGATATCGAGCCAAATGATGACATTAGCCAAGTACCCGAGGTTCGAGGTTCGTGAGGCCCCCATGACACGATCAAGGACGAAACAGCTAAGAATGAGGTTCAATTTGGCCATATAATACATCATGCAATCATTCGGATCAGAGGAACTTCTCTCACTTGGAACGGAACATGATGGTACGACGGGTCGTACCATGGGTCGTAATGACGGTACGGAGGATCGTACAGCGGGTTGTAATGCCAACATGACGGGACGTACCGCGGGGCAGACCGACCAAACCTCACGCGATGACATCATAGATGGTTTTACTCG